CAATTTGTGTAGTTAACCCTGTAATTTCTTGAAAATAAAATGCTTTCATCTTTGCTTGCTCAGCCTTAAAGTGCAGGCTTGATTTGCTTGACTTACTTGGAATAGAGCTTTCACCCTCACAGCTTGCTGGTTGATTACGTTGTTCACTAATAACTGACAAAGAATTTACAGATTTGCTCGTCAAAAGAGCTCCTCATTTCTCTAAAATCTTACTCGGAGTTTGTATTCTCTCACTAAACCAACTTGCACTCTGTTCACGTTCATTGTCGTTCTCCAACACAGACACATATGACTCTTGCGCGACATAAAGGGATTTTACTGCCGCTTCGACTTTCTCAACCGACCGTGACAAAGTACGCTTGTGCGGCTTGTCAGTGATATACTGCCTGGCACGATTGATAACACTTGTCGAGGGAGCTGCATAACCACTCCTATTGTGTTTCAGTTCATCGTGCTTTATGTGCGCTTCCTTATCCATCACTGTGTGTTCATTATATCCCCGAAGAAAAAGCTATGTTCGTGAGAGAACATGACGAATTGAGGCTGTGAAACTGGAGCTTAATTTTGATGGCTGATATCACGAGAAATACAAGACTGACATATTAGCGGGCTAGCTAGGGCTTGATTCATGCTATGATGCGCTAATTTTGAGTTTGCACTCACAGTCACGGTTTTCAAGCTCGTCAGCAAGATGTTTTCTTCGCCAGCTCATGGCGTTTCAAGGGAGATAACCATTTGAACATATATTCATAGCATACCACTACTAATAGTGAGACTCTTCACAAACTGGCAAATCATGAGAACTATCCAACATCATCCATTGTTAAGGAGATGAGTAAGCGCCATCTGTGCTTTAGGCGTCAGGGTGGTACCACTCCTCTTTATTCAGCAGAAAGCTCAAAGGATTTAAAGACAAAAACGGACTAAAGGAGACTCTCTCCTGATTGGAATAGATTCTAAAGATTGCACCTGCCCTTGTATTGCGAGTACATCTTAAGTTGTGTCGACAAGCAACTCATTAAAGGCTTGAGTAGTAGTTGCTCGGGGAGGTCAATACAATGAAGAAACTTCAGAATCCATTCATAAGGGACTGAATCGTATGCATTTATGTAGTCAATCCAGCACATGGAGAGGTTGCGGTGATATGTTTTAGCCTTCCCCAAAATCATTTTCTGTACAAGAAGTTGATACTTGCACCCCCCAGCATCCCTTCTTCGCTCCCTTCTCATCTGTATGAATTACATAATTGGAAGACCAGTAGGATAACACAAGGCTTATCAAACCCCATATGAAGATTTAATATTGCGTATTCAAACATGTGATCAGTGAAGTCTCATTTGGGGGCAAGGAGAATTGTACGACCTTTGCAGAACCATGGAGGAACATCACATGTGTCCACAAGAGAATTGAAACAGTGAAGTAATGGTATTTGGACACAGGGGAACAATTTCCAGTACTGGTTTCGAATGCCATCAGGCCCTGGAGCCTTGTGGCAGCAAGAGTTGTATGCTCCCCACCCGTGAAGGTCCGGGTTAGAATGTGCCTTGAGCATGCACTAGTGCGTGAATATGTGTGCTATATATATATATATCCAGTAATAAATAATAAATAAATATTAGATGTGTACTTTTTGATAACGCTTATCAGGCAATCTGGTGCAGTGTAGCAGACAAACGGCGAGATTAATTTTTCATGCATTGCATGATTGTAATCACGAACCTATGGTGCCTCAAGGTTACAGTCCCTGGGTACAGACCAGAACTATTTCCAGAACCTTTCACTGGCATCCAGGGGAAGCCGTTTATCGTGATTACCAACACCTTTTTATTTTAGTTGCCTGTAAAAGTGGTTTTCATTGTTTCTGATGGGTTTTTATTGTATAAATGTATTCCTATTTTCCCCTATTTCACAAATTTTCTCATAAATAGAGTTAAACAAAATGAAAACAGTATATTCAGAAAGATCTACAACTGAGGAGGAAGAGGAATGAGCCAGAAAAGTTTTTTGTCGGAAAGAGGAAAGAAATTGACGCGGACGTCCATTCGAAGTTTTGGAGGGTTCTGCTCATACACAGGTTCCTGACGGGCTCCAGTTGTTGGTTCAACTGGTTCACGGTGCATGTGAATTTTAAGGCGCCGGAGTTGGTCTCGGAGATTTTGCTCCGTCGGGAAAGCAGACATTGGCATGGCATTTTCCTATAATGCCGCTTAAACCACTTGCCATTGAAGCTGTTTGTTTTTGCAATTGTTGGACGAAGATATTCTTGGTCGGTTTCTGTTCCTTCCCCTGTGCAAGTCCCATCTCCAGTATGGGTGGTTTGACAGCCGGAGGAAGGCTGACTGGGTTACACAGTTGAAAGGTTGTATTTCTCTTGGCTTTCTGTAACATAGTGAAAAAACAGCTTCGGGGGGCCAGCCCTAACTGGGTGATGTACGTTTAGTTCAGGGAATATAAAAATTCCGTTGTCTTAAATTGGCCAACCATGGAGAGGCGTACTTCATCAGGCCCTGCTTATTATTATGTTTAACAGATTAAACAAAGTATGCAGCAGAGAGTGATTCTGGCACAGTCAGGCTGGTAAGGCTCATCATCAGATCAGGGTCCGTGCCCCCTCTGCACGCAGCCAAGACAACAAATGGGACTCCTTCCATGAATTGCTGCCTGGTCGAACCCACCAAGACCTTTCTGGAGAACACGAAGGCTCCCCAACACTGCAGCCTTCTGCATTAACCAGAATGTCAGAAAGGCTATGACCCCGATACCAAAAACCGGGCACTCTCCTGATCTGCGCCAAGAGATCAGGAGGTACCAAACCATGAACAATGGACAGTATGACGACAGTGTACTTGGGATGCAAGCGAGACATTTCAAAGGAGAGGTCCGCACATTTAGCATGTTTATTTCTGGATCTTGCCAATCACGTTGCTGTCAAAAGGGACAGAAAAGTCAATAACATAAATAAATGCATTGGCTTTATCAAAAAAGGACAAGAACAGGTTTGTTGGCTGGAATTATTCTGAGACTGTAAATGTGCCTATTTCGAAGAAATTTAAAATTATCATTTTCATGACGTCCTGGACATGTTCAGGGTCGTGCCATGGATGGACATCGGAGTCAAAGCCGCATGCATCGAGTCATGCCATCATGTTGTATAACCTGATTGCTATAGAGGGTATGACCATGAGCCGCCACTTGCTGACGTACGGGTGGCTCCATTTAATACGTCACTTGGGCAATAAAAAAAATCAATTCGTTTTGCTGAAACCCTTCAATGTTTTTAATACAGCATGTTCCGTTTCCCATCCCCGCATCCCCGTACCATTTGGAAATAAGGTGTAGTTTAAACAGTTAATTACTGCTGTTTTTCGTATGTATATTTTATCGAGTATAAACACGTCATGGTCGGCGAGTGGGATCATGCCTAACCATGGGAAAGTGAGAAAAGGGAAAGAAAGAGAAAATAAATATAGCATTTCAGTCTCGTGCTATCGCTTTCTTGTCTCGTGCTAGGGCTTTCCCGTGGCTGTATCTGAAGGCGAGAAAGAGATGTCCCCTCTCGGCCAGTATATGCAAGAACAGTGTTGGTTCATTTTTTCACTACGTGTAAATTCATTGCTTTGACGAAGCAAAGTGAGGACGGTGGTGGTACTAACAAACCAAGAGTCATAATTGGATAATCTGGGATCGGATAATGATTTTTAAAAAAATGAAAAAGAAAATCCGTCACTGCACTTGCGAAATTATTTTCTGAAAAAATAATTCGGTTTTAATTGGGTCCCTAGGAATTGCTGGACTCATCCCTGAATGAGAAAATGGGATTGTTTTCTTTCTTTTTTTTAAAATGAATTTGTCAGCTTGCGGATATTTAAGTAAAAAATGGAATTTCATGATGTTTCATGTGTGTTTTTTTGGTGGTTTCTCAAAGAAGATTTCTTAAGATTTTACTTCATTCCGTTTTAAATGTTTTTGTCATTGGCTGAGAAAACCAGACTCCCGTGTACTGCATTGCCTCGCATCATATAAATGCTTCGGATGTTTCTTATTTGCTTATTTAAAAAAACACAATTTGATTGATATTCACTGAAACATGCGGTGATGATGAGTTAAAACTATTTACACAATTTACGCATGTGAAACTCCAAAATAATCCCTGTACGTTTACTTATTCGCCGTTTAAAGAAAATTTCATGTGTGAATCATATGTACGCTGTATCAATGTTAAGAAAGTAAGAATAGCCTTATCACAGTTTCGTTGTTTATTTTGACAAATGGTGTTATAAGGGAAAATTTCATAACAAATCTACAGTTTGGAAATACTGTAAATTAAATGTCCTGAAAGACGAATAGTATGTTCTGCTAATTTGTGATCATCATAGTAACATTAGAAGCAAATAGATACCCAGATATTTTACGAAACAACCCCCAAAACATATATCTAACCAGCTGTTGTCAACTGCTAACCGTATATCAATTGAAAATATAATTGTCAAAAACAGATTCATTAATAACAATGCATAGAGTATGTTGCATGTCGTTGTATTGGAGATGTCATGAGTTTGTGTTGTGCACCTATATGTATTAAAATATAAGAAACCAAACTACTTTAGAGGTAGTTTTAATTAGGCGAACCATGCATGTGTGTGCGTGGTTTTGTGCATGTGCATCAAGTCGACACATGTTGACGTCGCCTAAAGTTTGAACTGTCGAATTACATGAGTGGGCGTGGTTAAATCCCCATATTTTGTGCAGTCGATTCTTGCAACAAGTATTTCATATTACATTAAACATTGCGGAGATGCGCGTGGTACCATATCCTGCCTCTCTTTAAGAAATGAAAAGGCTGATATATGCAAATAATCCGTAAATATTGTTGACAAACAGTGACTTTATCTCCGCACACCTCGCACTCGCAACCCATGTACACGCCCAGTATGAGAAAAGAAAGCGTGTCATTGGTCCAGTCAGTGAGATTGATACCCAGCCTCCAAATAAGGAAATCTACAACAACAAAAGGTTCGTGTTCATAACACACTACGTCATAATCAAAATGGGAACCTCTTTCAAGAAATAGGATTACAACATTTCTTCTTTCGGCTATTCTTGAGCTTTTACGTGCGTACTGAGTGATGCGTGACCATGACTCCTTCTCAAACTATGGATAGTGCTGGCTGAATCGACTGCGATGAATCCAGCAGTTCTAAGACAAGATCCATGCGACTAGGTCTCGAAGGATGACCATGGTAAGGTTAACATAAATCGCGGAATGTTTTTTGCTCATCAGACTACTGTTGTGGTATGTACACACAAATAATGATCAATTCCTTGTTAACCCGTGATGTAGATATTGTTGGATTGATTCGAAGTTGACGTGAATCACTGTATGAATAGGTGCAGACACTTCTTACTCAAGAACTATTTTCCAAAATGGCTGACGTGTTGAGAGTCATGTCTTGACGTGCTCCACGATTGATCTGTCAAAGTATTTGAAATTTATCCTTCTACGTACTCATCTCAGGTTATGCGTTATTTGTCGTAGAAACTTGTTTTGACAAATCAGTATCAGATACTAAGTGTTGCGTGACAAGCATTATTCGAGCGACAACAGCAGCAATAACCTTCTTCAAATATATTTATAAATGCACCAACATTCAATGGAATTTCCTTCTGTCCTTCTCAAATTTGTCTTTTTGGGTTTGAAAAGATAAGCTACTTTAATTAACAGGCCTTTCTCTCGAATCATGTGATTAGGAAGTTATCTTTTTTTTTCAATTACATTTACCAGTGAACATATGTATCGAACGATTTAGTTAATCTTAGGGTATTGGAGTAGTTGACTGTTGACACGCAAATGTACCTCACTGGGGTGTCTTTCATATGTATAACATAGCCAAGACTAAAATGTACACTAGCATGGCAAGTATAACAGGGCTGATGTCAGGATTGCAGGGGATAAAATCACAAGCAGCAAATGACATACCTGTGCATTGTGAAAATAGACAGTACCAGAGTTGTTGGACTAGGTTACATTTCTGCATATTGAATGTGCACTCTGTTATTACAAGTATCTGTAGGTGTTATTTGTTTAGAATGCATGTAATACTGTGGCATGAGACATGGTGCATATTTGAGAAATGGTAAATAAAGCCAGCAGCAGCAAAGATTACTGTGACATTCATTTGTGTTGTTAAAATATGAAGAAACCATATAATTGCCATCAAAGCCATTCATGAATATCAATGTCAATTAATTACTCGGAAATAAAGTGCCGCAAAGGTGTGCATTAACCGCATCAGTTACATCCCTCAGCACCATATTATAATGAGTATCTATCATCTTTTCCTAACAAAGGCTTTCTCTACAATGACATGCTCTTCGTCCAGTCAATCTGTGACTGAAAATATGCCAACCTCTAACTAATTGCAAAAGAATGAACTCTAAACCTGGTTTACATGCACAAGTTTACCCCTGGGGACAATATGTATCCAAAGGGGTAAATTTTGTGAAATGAACAGGTGTTTTAAACATATTGCAGGGGGTAAAATATCCGAACTCAATAGGTGGAGCAAATTACGTAACTTTTAGGGTACATTATTCCCAAGAGGTAATCTCCCAATGTATGTGATTTTTGTACAGAGGAAAATTCAACATAAAGAAGCTTTTTCTCAGAAATATAATTATAGAAGTGATGAAACAAACAACATTGCTTTATTGTCATGATATGCCACCCTAACAGGGAAATATTATTTGGGGAAATGCTTGATCGGATGATGAAACCAGTTTGTGTTCTAAGTGTCTGGTCATAATTACAAATACAGACACATAACAGTCCAAGGAAGTCTGATACTGTTATTCACAACAAACTATGCTGGAAACCTCACAAAAAGGGCATGGAGAAAACTAGAGGTGTGACGGTACAGAAATTTCATGATACGATACGTATCACGATATCTTGGAACGATATGATTCGATACGATGCATATCACGATATGCTTTCTTTGGTTATTATCATAACAAGTAACAGTGTAAATTTTGATATAACCGTCAATTTCTAGTGAAAATTCACAATTTTTAGGTCAACAATACAATATCACGATACGAAAAAAGTGTCGATATATTTATTGTCAGAAAAGGTATCACGATTATCGATACAAAGATATATTGTCACAGCTCTAGAGAAAACATAGTGCAAGTGCAAAGAACATATGAAGACTCTTGAGACACAGGGACTTGTGACATGTCAGGTTTCCGGCCTGTGGTGTTGAATGGGTTAGAGTTTTTAGAAACATGTATTTTGTGGTATTTTGATGATAAAATTGAACAGAACATATGAAAGGTAGATCATACCTTAAAACTGGATATTACAATGAAATACATATGATGTAAATGGTTAACTTCGCTATTAATAATTTTCAGAAAATACATCATTTTGAATGTTGATGATGTAAACCGATTGGTGGAATTACAAGTTTAACAGGCTCTTTTCAAATGTCACAGATGGGGGATATGACTGAGTATTTAATATGCTGAATTAATACTCATTTGAAACAATGAAACTTGTTTATGAGTCAAAAGTGCGGGCAGGCAACTGTAAAGACTAGCAGGCAACATTTATTGGTCACCTGCCTGACTGTCTGGTTGAGTTTGAAAGTTATTTCGATCACTGCTCACACCATTGATGCTGACAATGAACTTGAAAAGGAAGACCATGAATTTAGGAAACTCATTAAAGGAGAGAGACAGAAAAGACACAGAGATCATCTGTTGTAGATGTTTGCAGCTCATAATGCAGGGTCGACCTCTGTTCAAGACTCCAGATCCAGATCCAGCTAGTGTTGTTAACAACCCTTTTCAGTCAGCTCTATGTTCCTCAGTCTTCTCAAGAATCGGTGTCCACTCTCCATGTCCACTCTCAATAATCAAGCACAGGTAACGGCTGCAATGGGATGTACATTGGGCGATGAAGATTATATTCCCAATGATGGCAGAATGAGCAACCTTGCTTCAACGAAAAAGACAAAACTAAATGAGTGTATGACTGTCAGTATGTGTTTGTTTATTTGTTTAAAATTTATTTTTATTTTTGTGATGAGAGAATGATATCAAAAGGTAAATGGATATCGGAGATGTATTTTTATGGATCATTGAATTCTTGTTCAGCAATGGGTATGTTCATCGTGTCTGTTGGAATAGTTTCCTTTGAATTTTTGTTAAGAATAGATTAAAGTATGAATGAATACAACAGGCATTTCAAAAGATCTACCCACAAAACCAACTTGAATGTTCCAATCAGGCGACTTTGGAAAGATGTTTCCAGCTTTGAAATTGAGGCTTGTGTTGAAGCATACTCTCGCATCCTGTATTCGACCTGGCCACCCAACGCACACATCTGTAATCTGGTATCTGTCCTCACACAAGGCTTGCATCATAATAGAATAGAATACATTCGTGCATTCCTTTTCAGCATGATCATGTCAACTGCCCAAAGTCAGCTTGGAAAGTTCCATCTGGACTTGTAACCTTCTTCACTACTCTAATGTCTTAGGTCAACACCTTGAATTATGACAATTGTGGGAAATAGTTCTGAGCACAGACCTCAGTCATTATCAAGTAAACTGTTTGTGCATGCCAAACAAATTTCCAATGATACAATAGTACTAAGTAGTATGTGGTAACTGCAACACAATCCTGTGTTGTTTTGGATTTGCCCATGAACATCAGGGTTAGAATGGGTCTTCAGCAGCCCATGCTTATCATTTAAGAGGCAGCTAACAGAATCAGGTGACTCGCTGACTAGGTTGACACACATAATTGTATGCTAATCACGTAGATCTATGCTCATGATGTTGATCATTAGATTGTCTGGTTCATACTTGATTATTTTCAGGCTATTGCCATATAGCTGGAATATTGCGCAGTGCGATGTTGAACAACAAAGAAATGTTAGTGCTTGTCAAACACTGGAGCTGCTTTGTAGGAATGTATTCATTTTTCTTTCCACTTGTCTAAACGTCGAAGAAGGATCCCACCAATTTCTGCTTCTGTCTTTCACTCTTTTTCTGCCATCTCTAAGGAAGGAGGAAGTTAAGCCACATGAAAGTGTTTTAGTAAATCTTTGTCTACATCATATTTCTCTTTGACATTTATAGTTGGCTATGTTCATGGAATACTAAAAAGAACACCCATACATGTAAACGCGAAAAGTATGTATCCCATACCATGATAGGGTGAAATACCCCTGGGGCAAACTAGCGCATGTAAACTAGGTTTAATAGTTGTGTTAATATCAGGAACATGCACTACATGACATTGAAAGTTAAGAAACACTTCGCTTCAGGAACATTTTCAAATCTAGGTTTCCCTTTACCTACCCTTTTCATGTGTTTTAACCGCCATTATAAGAAACTGTCCGATATTTATCTGATTTGATAATACATCACTTTGTGCGCAAATTATTATGTCATCTCTGAAATAACTTCATCGTGATTTCTACAACCCTGTTTACTTTCATTTATCTTGCCTGTGTTTCCCCTTAGGTCAGCTTGAAGGTCAAGAAAAGCTCTGTTAAAAGAGCTGATGACACAACAGTCTCCACATACAACTGATCACTGCAAACTGTCAGGGGCGTAGCTACCATTATAAAAAAAAGCCCAGGCTTACACATGATTGTTGCTAAAAAGGTTGGGCAAGCCATCAATACTATCTAAATATAAAGCTTTGCAACCTATCCGGCTTACACGAAAAAAATGGCTTGCTACGTGCCTGACTGTTTCTTGCTTTGAGATTGTCAGCTGTCCCAATCTGTGGTAGTCACATTCATTGATCTTCAGTAGTTTGGTTCAAGTTAGTACCGATAGACTAAACTGTCATAAGCTTCATAAGTAATCCATCCCCTATGACGTGGAACAAAATGCCCATCCAGGGCGATCCACTGCTGAACTTTTGAGTAAATATGCTGACTATGATGTTTGGCTACTGTTGATTGATGTTCCAGTGAGACATGTTTGTGCACAAATGAGTTATAAGTCGTAACTTTGCTGAATTTTTTTCTGCATAAGAATAGATCCAAGCTTTCCCCTGGATTTTTAGAATAGAGACTAACAACTGCTTTTTCATCAGCCACAATTTCCTCCTTTGAAGGCTTTCTGGATAGCACTTCAGCTTCGTGCTTGAAATGAGGATCATTTTAAAGTTTTCTCAATGAAGTTATCAATTCCAGGTATATGAAATGTTGTATCTCATC